CAGTTGAAACATGAATTGAGAAAAAATTGAAATCTAATAAATTTAGAACGCCGTTTTTAACTCTGCCGTTGCTGGTCTCAAGCCCGGATGAGAAGGGAGGAGGGTTGGGAACCGTGGCGAGGGTTTCCGGAAAATGCAGCTACTTGCCCCTCATGGCATTGCCGTTTTCGAGCGATATGCCGGCTCGATCGCCGCCAGGGTTACCATGGGTCATGCAGGCTGTTGGGAAACTGAGGCAAGCTGCAGATAGTTGGCGATCATAACTTGCTTCTCACTTTCAGCCAGCTCGGGGCAAAGTTGGACGGCGACGGTTACCGAAGATCGGTGGAGCCGCAACCCGTCCTGAGCGGTGTGATGCCATTAAAGAACGCCAGGTAGGGCTCCACGTGAAATTCGTCAGTGGAAGCTCACTGTCAGAAATTATAACATTTTTTATTATAGAGGAAGATCAGGAGCTAGTTGATGAAGCCGCGATCCACCAACTCGACACTGTTTGGCTCGCGTTAACGAAGCGCCAAGGTTTTGGAATCCTGAACCTCTGCGTGTGGAAGCTATTTTAATCAGGTGTCGACATGACGACACGCGCTCAGGCCAGTGTTGGTGTTCTGGTAGAACCCAACCTGGTTGACAAAATTATTGAATGGATACCTGTCAACGGAATGGTGATAATAATTGAGCTGAAGTTATAAGAAGCTTAATCGTTGACTTTGCTATGGCTACCTGAATGCTCCAAATTCAGAGGAAAAATGTGAATCATTTCTGGAGAAGTAGAAGGTGTTCTGTACAAAATACAGGCTACGCAATCCCTCATTCTAATGGCTCATTTCAATGCGCATGTCAAAGCGGAACCGAACGGAAAAATGGAAAGACCTGATTTTAAAGAACGGTCTTTGTGACTTCAACATTAACCGCATGAAGTTTTGCGGTTTTGTGCAGACAACGAAGTCAAATCTGCGATTATTTGGGCATGTGTTACAAATGCTTTCAGAAAAGAAAACAAAGGAGCCACCGCTTGCCAAACTGATCGGTCGAAAACCCAGGGGACGGTCATGAATAACCTGTGGAAAGTATCTGGATTGACTCTGCTCCGGACTCAGATTTTCTTCTGTTGAAGCTCAAACGCGCACACAAGAGCGAAAATATTGGAGACACTGTCTAATGAGTCTGCTCCTCGACCGAAAAGTATCGAAACTGACTGACTACGAACAGTGCTTTTAGCTATTTTGTGTGAATGCCAAAGCTTTGCAGGTTATTGTAAAATAGGTGAAATTTAAAGGAAAAATTGATGTTGGTAATTTCCAAAATGATTAGATTCTAGTCACATCTTAGCTGTACAATGGCTGTAGAATAAAGTCAGTGTTATAGTAGAGGCCTGTTGCAATCATTGTTTTGTTCTTCACCTTTTCTAGCAATTAAATTTGGGATCCCGTTATGGGTGCTTACTGATTTGCTTATGTTATTCAGCATGATAAGTGTTCAGTGATGAATAGTGTACAGTGTGGATGTATCACTTTTGCACTCCAGGAGACAACCGATTCAGGTTCATATCACCATATCAAGTTGTCCTTTTTCCTTTGTCATCTAGATCTTGCATCATTCTATTGTTAGAAGTTATATTTTATTATTCATTTAGTATACGGCATGATGGAGGATTTTTACTCACATTTATGTACACTTGACTCCAGAATAGTTGTACCTTAAATATGAATGCGATATCCTGTCGTATCCTGTCGATTGGTTAAGGTCAAT